ACATATATATATATATATATATATATATATATATCCATCCATTATCTTTTTTATCTTTTTTCAATCTAAATTTGGAATAAATTGAAGGGTGGTGGAATGGGTGAATTGATTTGTTGGTTAATTGGGAATGTTTCTATATTAGATCACAAGGGGGAGTTGGGAGGTTCTATTATTTACATACAATATGCACGTTAAAACATGTCAATTGATTAAATCAGATTTTATTCACACAAACACATTTCCTGCTGTGACAGGCTAAACATACCAGCAGCGCTCTGTGCAAATAAATTGGGTACTGCATGACTGAAGGGAAAGGGGGCACAGAGTTTTTTTGGTTTTTTTTCCCTTTCCAGATGGACAAAATGGACCAGGCCTGCCCGTGAAGCCAAAAAGAGAAGTTCAGGTTCTACAAACTGAATAACATCTATTAGATAAGAACTCTTTCTTGCATTAGGACGCCTTCTGCAATCATTAAATCATATATTTAAAGAACTGACTTAGACAAATGTTAGAAATTTCCAGTTTTAAAAAATTTCCCAGTCTCTTAAATAGCACCTTCTCAGAGTGGATCAACCAGTTTTGCTGCTGACAACCAGAACCAGCTGATCACATGCTCAAGAAGGACCATCAGCCTAACAATGGATCATTAGCACCTGATGGCTGTTTACTGTTCACAGAGGGCTGAGTGATACTAGCAATCACAGCATTGTAAGAGGGGGACAGTTGAACCTGGAGGCTCCGCCCCTGTTTAATGATGGACGGTTTCTTTTCACAAAGATGGCCTCCTTTACTCCTCTCTCAAACCATCGTTCCTCTCTGTTCAGGATGTGAACATCTTCATCCCTGAAAGAGTGACCTCTGACCTGGAGATGAGTGTAGACCTCAGAGTCCTGGCCTGATGATGTTGATCTTCTGTGCTGGTCCATCCTTTTGGCCAGTGGCTGTTTAGTTTCCCCGATGTAAGACTGATCACCCTCCTGACACTGAACAGCATACACAACATTACTCTGTTTGTGCCGGGGGACTGGATCTTTGGGATGAACCAGTCTTTAATGTATTTTGGGGTTTAAAAGCCACTGGGACATTATGTTTAGAAAATAAACGTCTCAGTTTAAACATCTATAGATTTTCTACCACCAACTTTTTACCATCATTAAACATCAAAAAACAAAGAAAGTTGAACTGCGGCGGAGCGTCCGTGTCCAACTGTCCCCTCTTACAGCCGACCCTCAACTTTTCCATTCAGTCGACCTTTATTTCTTCAGGTTAGTCTCACTGAGCCTCCAGGACTCTGTTACAGCAGAGACCTGATGTAACAGAGCGATGACGACAGGAGACCATCATAAAAGAGGCACACACATTTTTTTACAAATTAAAATAAGATGCAAAAAACAAAAGTTAGATTATAAGGCGAATGTAGAAAAGTAAAAACAGGGACATGTCTTACATAACTTATGTTTAAACAACCTTTAATTATTATTAACAAGTTATTGAATTACTATTAAGAAGTTTTGAATAATTTAACCAGCATGTTGGTACTTTTAGCTAAGCTTACCGTGGTGACGCTTCATGATGTGTCTCCTTCAGGTCCACTTGGTTCTGTGTGCAGATGGTTCCAGCCTCACCATCACCACCATCACCACCATCATGTGGGCTCCAAGGCAGGCTCCGACCCTCAGCTTCCTCCACATCTGAACACAAGCAGAGTCTGAGTGGGAGCACGTGTGGTTTGTTGCTGGTTTCATGGTCACCAGTCTGCTGCTCTGGTTCCTCACCAACAACCACCTGGTGGCTCCGCACATGTTTGTTGAAAACCACGTGTGATGAACGTCTGAGCTCGTGTCTGGCTCCGACCACTCACCTCCTCTGTGCAGTGTGACCCGAGGCTGCAGGAGCTCCAGCTGCCTCCTCTGCCGCTGCACCTCCT